CTCTATCAAACGCAGAAGATAAATCGACAAAAAATGCATACACTTTCCTACATTTCCGTAAAAAAGTTTTCTGGATAACTGTATACAAAACAAAAATATTATCTAATGTGGAGTAGCTAGCCCTGAAACCTGCCTGATTTTCATGCAATATATTTTTAACTTCTAACCATCGAGTCAACCTTCTATATAGAATAATACAAAACAATTTCGAAGCACAAGATGATAACCAGATAACTCTATAATTACCAGGAACATCCTTCCTACCATTCTTATAAATCGGAATTAAAATACTCGTCTTCCAAGACTCCGGTATTATCCCAGTATAAAAAATCTTTGAGAAAAGACTCAAAAGATGTGGTCTCAACGGCTCAAAATTCCATTGGGATCCCATCAAAACCTGGTGTCTTATTTGGCTTATACCTTCTTAAAGCATCATTAAGCTCATTTATAGAGAATTCATGGTCCAAAAGTTCATCATACCAATTCCTACAATAATTAAAAATCGAAATATCCGCACAATAAGAATCCAAGGAACCAAATAAATTAAAAAAGTGATGAAACCAAACATCAATAGGAATAAAGCTAAAATTACGAGACTGAGCCTGCTTAACATGACGAAAATAATTCCAAAAAAGTCTATTGTCTTTTCTAAAACATTTTTGAATTTTACCAGCAAATAATTTTTTTTCGCAATGCAAAACTGCTTCACCATACTTCTTAACCTAACAAAGCGCAAACGATCACTAGAATCATTACTCTTCCTAAAAGATCTCCAGGCTCTATTCCTAGCACTAATTAGCATCCTACAGTCCGAATCAAACCATAAGAGAGAGTTCTTATGTCTCCTAATATTAAATCCCCTCCTGCAAGCCACACTAAAAAGGCAATTATTCAGGTCTTCCATTGAATCAAACTTATTCATAATGCATATTTTCTCCAAAGCAACCTTAATTTGTCCTTTCTGGATTCATTCCAAAACAGTCTATTAATCCTCTGTCTCTTTTCGAAAGAGACCGATCTATCATTACCACAAGCCAGACGTAAAATTAATGGGTTATGGTCGGAATCCAAAAATTGATCCACCTGAAGAGAGAGAACATCTTTCCAAGTTAACGGAGAAACTATAACCAAATCAATAACAGAACAACCATTACTAGAGATAAAAGAAAATTCACCCGCTTCATCTCCTAAACATCTCCCATTAACAATAATCATATTTAAATCATCACATAAATTAAGCAACTTTCTACCACAAGAATCAGTCACCAAGTCTTTC